GATATTTAATGATGACGAGACGAGTTTATGCACTGTCCCAACAAAAAACTCGAGAGTGTTTGCACAAACAGGCCGTAAACAGGTGGCGCGAGTGACTTCAGCTGAGAGACGTGAAACAACGACTGCAGTGATTTGTACCTCAGCTTCTGGAACTTTTGTTCCTTCAATGTTAATCTTTCGCAGAGTCCGAATGAAAATAGAATTTATGGATGGCGCACCTCCAGGCGCTATATGTGCATGCAATCCATCTGGTTGGATGAAACTAGATGTGTTTTCTCATTGGTTCGATCACTTCTTGAGTTATGCCGACAGCAGAACCGACAGCAGAAGATCCAGCTCTTTCGATTTTGAATGGTCACCTATCTCATACAAAAAATTTGAATGTGGTATTGAAAGCCAGGGATAATCACGTCACTATTCTATGCTTGCCGCCTCATTGCTCCCACAAACTCCAACCCTTCCAATCCTTGGACGTCGGAGTCATGTATCCCCTAAGCGTTCATCATAACCAAGCGTTGGAGAAGTGGATGAATAACAATCCTGGTAGAGTAGTGATCGTGTTCCAAATAACGAAAAGTTTTACAGAGGCCTATCTAAAAGCAGCAGTTTCACTGAATAGTATGAATGGATTCAACAAAACAGGAATATATCCGTTCAACCCTGACATTTTCACTAATGTGGACTTCATTGCAGCTGAAACGACTGAAATGGATGTTGACAATGACACGGTAGAACCTCTCATTCCGATCCTTGAGACGTCCAATCCTCCATTAGCAGAAACCGTGCAAATGGGTGTCCAAGAATCCCTTCATTCAACACCTCAGCTGTCTCCACTTCAAATTTCGACTCCAATGATGACTCAAACATCTCCACAAGCTCCACAGTCATCGCGGCAAGCACCGTCCTTCCCAAAAAATATCTCAACGTCTGAATTTTCCGGATGATTACCTCCAGCTTTGGCTGCTGGTCTTTCATCCACATCTTTTGGTGTTATTACACCCCGAGAAGTACGACCAACACCAAAGATAGTTGGAAAAAGAGCGAGTGCAAGACCAATAAGAGTAGACACATCAGTATTGACCAGCACACCCTACAAAAAATACCTTGAAGAGGAAGCCAAAAAGAAAACAGATATAGAAGAAAAAAAAGCCTTTAAGGAAGCGAATAAAATAAAAACTACGGTGACCAACAAACAGAACGATAAAGGAAAAGGAGGCGGGAAAGGAAAAGCAAATGGAAAGGGAAAAGGCAGAAAAAAGCAAAACAGATCACTTTCTTCTGCAGAGGAGAGTGATACCGAATGCTTCTTCTGTACTGAAGGAGGCTATTTTTTTATTTTTTTCCTGATATAAACATTATAATTTTTTGAACGGAGAGTTGATTTTTCTATTGCATTTAGGAATAAGTATCATTTTTGTTTTTTTTTTACGAGAAGAGTTTATTTGATTGACTATTGCTTGACTAGGTATGTTGTTAATTTTGCAAACCTTTCAAAAGTTGGTTGCAATGTTTTATTGTTTAGTTTTGTTGATTGAGTAGCAGATAATTACAAAAAAAGATCTCTAATGACACTAGAAGACTCCAAAAGTTTTGTGTAACTTACTTAAATTGTTATGAACAATACATGATCAAAATAAACAACTGAGTTTTTTATTTCAATAATGTTCATTAACTTTTGGTATAAAATGATCCCTGGGATTATTTTACCCCTACCCCAGGGATCATTTCTTACATAGGTGTGTATAAAATGATCCTTTACTAAACTTTAACAAAAACCTTTAATACAAGAAAACTACATACATATATAACGATGAGATTGGAACCTTTGGTGTGGAAGTTGAATAACTTTTTTCAAGATCAATTGCCCCAAACACCAAACTGATATTATGGCACTCGACGCGCGTTTCGCCAACAAAGTTAGCATCCTCAGGAGAAGTGATGAATTTTCTTCTCCTGAGGATGCTAACTTTGTTGGCGAAACGCGCGTNTTGAAAGACAATTGAGACTGAACAAGTGCAGAATATAGAGTTTTCAAATGTTTCATGTCTAAGAAGTTTCTGAGATACAGGAATTTAGATAGTGTGCCTCTCATCTTTCTTACTGTTTCTTTTTATGTAAGTCCCAACGAAGCTGTCTATCAATTGTTACCCCTAGATATCTAATTGAGTCACTTTTTACGGAAACGCCATATATAAGATCGATAGGAAATCCAATTCTTGAATATCAAAAATAACCAAGACTCCCCAAGGCGGTCAGTTGAAAGCTAAGCTTTTAAATCGACCGCCGATGAGATTCGTCCTCCATCTTTCACTGCAGTTTTCACGGCAAGGCAATTAGCTGAAAATACCTACTTTGCATTAACAGACAAACAGACTTTTTCAAGGGATTTATTTTTCAGACAGTGGATGGTTTTTTCATCAAATCACCTCTTAAACACACCCTTTCTTTTCACCGCGTTTAGGAAACATCCTGAATTCTGACCATAGCATGATACGTCTTTCAATCATTCGTAAGACAATTGAATCATTCTAGAATTGACAGTAGCCACATTACATTGAAACAGTCGTTGAGATCATTTCTAAAACGTATATCTAACCTTGAGCGCGTATGCTCCACTCTGTGTTGTGTTCCTCCCACAGCCAATGTCTATTTATGTCCGTTCCCATATCAGATTTATTCACCAGGAATTGATAAATGTCGGATTTCGTTTCCATAGGATTAATTTCGTGATCACTCATTATTACTAGTTCATTACGAAAATGGGAAGGTTTTACGTGACAGAGAACATACCCTTTCGAAGAAATCAGCAAACACCCTTCTGAAAGAAATAATAAATGAAAATGGCAACCTTTCTTCTGATTCAATTCTTCAGTCAATTAGGATAAAATTTTCAGTCAATTCATTCAAGGACACTTTTTTAACAAAAGGAAATCTGCTCAGGGTTTCTCTCGGCAAAAGATTAATAATCAATAATATATCAATATAATAATCAATATCATTTTGAACCATTGTAACTTCCAACCAAAATTCAGTCTACGGAATTCATACGACTTAATCAATAAAATAGAGAAGATACCTCTACCAGACACCTCTACCTCTATCCTTTGATGTGCAGAATCTATTTTTCAGCATACCTCCTGATGATACTATTACTTCAGTAATAGAATTACTAAATAAAAATAGGTGTATATTGGTCAAACTGGCAGGACGTTTAGAAATCGAATCCAGGAACATCATACGAGCTATGTTAATAAGAAAACAAATTCAACATATTCAAATCATCTTCTAGAAGAGAGTCATATCTTCAACGAAGAGTTCGAAATTTTACACATAGAAAATAATGGTTTGAAACTGAATCATTTGAAAGCAATGGAAATTAATAAACTCAAAAAGCCGAACATTCTAATGAATGGCCAACTAGATTTGAATAGATCACCATTATTGAACTTGTTTTCTTAAAAACCGAGAAATTGATGTAGATGTGAGGTAATATGCTTCAGATGATAATAATTGAACAGGTACGTTAAGTTCAGGTAATTTTTTGGAGGTTAGCTCAATTATGACTGTAGTACATAAATATTAATGTTAAGAACAACTTGAAGTATGAATCACTTGAAAAAGTTAATGTTTTAGCGAAACATGTTGTGATATATTTTTCAAATAAAGT